ATTTATCAAAGACACAGCTTCTGTTATCAGTTTGTGAATGAATTTTACTTTTATAAGTCAGGTGAAACTAAAATGAATTTTCTAGAACTCACCTGCTCAATATGAAAATATTGTCTGTAATTTGATTGTTTCACAATAAAGATTGTGTGTTTGTTTGTTGATGTTTTATGAAAGCCACTTTCAGCTTTCTTGGCTTTATAATGGCAATTTGTTTTTACCTGCGTCACTGAAGGCAGAAGCAGGTTTCTGCTGTTGTCTGTTCTATGGTCGGGTTGTTGTCTCTTTGACACATTCCCCATTTCCATTCTCAATTTTATTTGTAACTGCTGAACTCCATTCATCTGGTTTTCTGTCTGTCTGTCCACCAGAAAACTTTGGCTTTTGTGAAAGGGAATCATTTAGTATATGGTTTGCAATTTTTATGCCCCACTTAGGGGCATTATGTTTTTAGGTCTGTGTGTCCGTTGTCCGTCCATTCGTCCGTCTGTCGATATTTTGAAATTTTACAACACTCATTGTATAAGGAAAATTTTCATCAGAAGTATTCTTGGCTTCTATGATACGGAATGATTAAATATTTAGTCTGCAGCTTGATAATGTTGAGTTGTAGCGAATAAGCAATTTTTACATCTGCTGTGTAGCCACTTCCTGTTTGCCGATATTTTGAAATCTAACAACACTCATTGTATAAGGAAATTTTTTGTCAAAGTTTCTTGGCTCTTATTGAAGTGAATGATTATATATTTGTCTGGGACTGATAAGTTATGCTCCTGAATACTTGTAACCTCAATCAATTGCATGCACTGACACAGTCCAGACCTGGTATTGGTCTTGTTATTGGTTGGGGGAGCCGGAGTACCTTGAGAGAATCACAGATGAACTGGCAATCATTGTCAGTTAAGATCTGAGTCAAACATACTCGTCAAGAGAAGTGTTCAAACTTACTCGTCAAAGAGAATGGTTCAAACTTACAACCTCAGAGTTGATAGACTAGTGATCACTGTATTGTAGATGAACTTTTTAGACCACTTGACCATCGATGCCCCAACCAACAAAAAAAAAAAGGAGAAGTCATTATGTAATTGATGGGTTTTTATTAGTTCACCACTGGCCCAATAATCTTCTCCTGAAACAAGTTGGCCAATTGGAAGTGAAAGCATTATATGGAGTCTGAGCCTTATTTATAGGTCTTCCCTTCTCCCTGTTTTATAGCTCTATAAACGTGTAGTGACCACTAATAGTATCAATTATGCAAGATTCCCCCCTTCAAATTAGATAGATATGCCAACACCTTAGAGGACACAAAATTAGCAACAAATCAAGTACAATATGTGTCTGTGGAGTGATGTTATCCAATGCTACACAATGTGACATCATCTGCAATTGTTGACCTTTATCCCCTACCCTTGATTTTCATTCTGTTGTGAACCCTTGGAACCAAACCTGGCCACAATCGTCCTTGAGGTATCTGGTTTAAAAGATGTGTCTAATTACCCCGCTTGCTAACCAAAGCTAAAAATAAAACATAGGGATAAAATACAAGTATTGTCTATTATTTCAAAAACTTAGTACTGTATATAGATAGAAAAATCCAACAGGGTATAAAATGATTGAAAAGTCAAGATCTACCCTGTTGTCTGTCAATTCTGATCAACATGGACAATGTTGATCAAAATTGACAGACTGAGTTTTTGCCCTTAAATGATGATTTATACCATTTCTTTTGTTTTTTAATGCCCCCGCCGTAGTGGAGGGGGCATAAAGTTTTACCCTTGTCCATCTATACTTCTGTACGTCCCGAAATTGGTTTCCGTTCTCTAACTGTAGTTTGCCTCAACCAAATGTTATGAATCTTGTACACAATGCTTATTGTCACAAAACACAGATCAAGTTTGAATTTTGGTAGTGTCACTTTTACCATTCTAGAGTTATGCCCCATTTCCGTTCTCTAACTTGAGTATGCCTCTATCAAATGTTATGAAACTTATACACTATGCTTATTACCAAAAAACTCAGATCAAGTACAAATTTGGGTAGAGTCACTCTGACAGTTCTTGAGTTATGTCCCTTTATAACTTGGAAAATTGCAAAGCTTGAGCTGGGGCACTCGTGTCCTCAGACACATTCTTCTTTTATTTCTGTATTTGACTGATAAATGGACTTAATTATTAAAGTTTTCCCAAACAAGGGCAGAGACATGCTGATTCCTTCTATCTAGGGCCCATACACCCTGCAACATCTAAGGGCATCACAGTTTTTATGCCCCCGCCGCTAGGGGAAGGGGGCATTAAGTGGTACCCTTGTCCGTCCGGCTGTCCGTACATCCCCAAAATTGGTTTCTGTTCTCTAACTTTAGTTTGCCTCCACCAAATGTTATAAAACTTATAAATGCTTATTACCACAAAACACAGATCAAGTTCGAAATTGGGTGGCGTCACTTTTACCATTCATGAGTTATGCCCCTTTATAAACATAAAAACTGCTGAATTTTTCGTTTCCATTTTCTAACTAGTGTGCCTCAACCAAATGTTATGAAATTTATACACAATGCTTATTACCACAAAACACAGATCATGATCGAAATTGGATGGCGTCACTTTTACTGTTCATGAGTTATGCCCCTTTATAAACATAAAAAATGCTGAATTATTCGTTTCTGTTTTCTAACTTTAGTTTGCCTCAACCAAATGTTATGAAACTTATACACAATGCTTATTACCAGAAAACACAGATCAAGTTTGAATTTGAGTGTTTCACTTTTACCGTGCTATAGTAATGGGCCTTTACAAATATTGAAAAATTGCTGTATTTTTCGTTTCCGTTCTCTAACTTAAGTTTGCCTCAACCAAATGTTATGAAACTTATACACAATGCTTATTACCAGAAAACTCAGATCAAGTTCGAATTTAGGTGGGGTCACTTTTACCTTTCTTGATTTATGTTCCTTTATAACATTATATGCAAGCGGGGGAATCATCTGTGTTCCATGGACACATTCTCCATTTATTTTTACATTTAACATTCAGATTCAGTCTAAGGTTAAAGTTTTTCAGTCATCAATAACTTTGTCCAATCATCATGGAATTTTACCTAAGTTGGACAGAAGTATTTTCATGATCAAAAGTCAGTATCTAGAGCAAAATAATGATGGTACTTTTTTTATTTTTCAGTACTTTACTGATAAAAGGACTTAGTTTTTAGTAAAGATAACAAGTAATTACACTTTGGGGTTAATTTTTATTACATATCAAGTACTTTGTCAAACCTGCATAGAATTTTATGAATCTTTGGCAGAAGCTTTTTTATGAAATAAAATACACATATACCGGTACTTAAGAAAGGAAGACATGTATTTTTCAGTTTTACTATAAAGAAATAGTTAAAAACTACAGAAATGTAAAATGAACGAAGTTCATGTTTGGTCAAGCAGTACGGCATTGGAATGCATTTGCAATACATAAATCTATAGGTCATGTAAGTTCATGCATTACCTTATTGGCATAAGCAATACACAAAAGTAGTCCGGCAGTGGGCGGAGCCTAAAGAGATAAACGTATAGTATACAATTATAGCACAGCGATTATCTGCTGGGTTGTTAATATTATATGCTTATAGGACACCCAATCGCAGGATATAAACATTTAAAGGTTACTTCATGCACAAACTGACAAAGTAAATATTTATTAAATAACAACATGTATATGCAAACTGATAAAAAAAATCTGACAGTTTTTATACCTCCTCTGTGCAAACAAAAGTATTGATTGTATTTTATAAACTGAAATTCGACGTCTAGATAAGGTTACAAATTTATGAAATATTAATGCATTGAAAAAGAAATTACACACACTGGTAGGTCATTTGGTTGCCATTTGAAATGGTGCAGCTGCTTCCTGTAACTTTAAATATGCTCTGCTTACGATTGTATATAGCATTATGTTTTGTGGTCTGTGAGTCCGTTTCTCCATCTGTCCAATATCAGGTTAAAGTTTTTGTTGAGGTTAGTTTGGGGTCACATTATCTTGATGATGATGATGATGGCTGTTTAACATCCAGTGGCAAATTAAAATGCATATTATGAACAAGAACAAGGTTTTTAGTCCCCTACAGACGAAGTCGAAGGGGACTTTAGGTTTGCACACCGTCCGTCTGTCTGTCTGTCTGTCCTTCTGTCAGTCCGGCAAATCAGATTTCCACACTTTTTTTCTTCATGCTTGAAGATATTGATTTGATATTGGTATATTGTTTTATCATAACAAGTTACAGATCAAGTTCGAATTTTGTTTTGGTCTGATAATTTTGTGCAGAGTTATAGTCCTTTGACTTAAAAAAATTCACTCAAATATTCAGTTATCCACACTTTTTTTCGTCATTCTTGAAGATATTGATTTAATAATTGGTACATTGTTTTATCATGACAAGTTACAGATCAAGTTCGAATTTTGTTCCGATCTGATGATTTCTTGCAGAGTTATGGTCCTTGGACTTAGAAAATTCACTCAAATAATCCGTTTTCCGCACTTTTTTTCGTCATGCTTGAAGATATTGATACTCTCAGAATGCTTGTTATTAATGCCAACAATGCGACTGGTTGAGTGTCGCAAAAATAAGAACTCCGCATTCAGATCTCTGATCCAAATTTGGTATGCAGATTTTCCTGAAATCGAAATAATTAATCTAGCATTTTTGTCTATTCCTCAGAAGTCGTAATAATAAATGCCCGCAATAATTTCTGAATTACAGTTTTGAATTCTTGTTTAATTAAGAATTATGAGAGGCCTTTTTAAAAATTTGATACTGGAAATTCAGAAATTATTGCGAGGTTTTTATTCATGCAAATAATGCGACTGGATGAGTATCACAACAATAAGAACTTGATTCTGAATTCGATGCATAGGTCTATATGCAGATTTTCCTGAATTGCATTTTTGTTCATTCTTTAAAAATCAGAATAATAAATACATTGATGTAATATGAGATGGTTTTTTTTCTACTTTCAGGTGATTCCGATAAGAAAGAATTGTGTAAGGTGACATTTACAGAACAAGATTTACAGCTATTACGTGATGCTATTGAAGATCTCTATTACTTTGAATTTGTTATAGGTAAAAAATAAATTAGTTTCAAATTTATCTGATTATAGCCCCACTCTAGGAAGGTGGGGAGGGGGTATTGCAATCTCCATGTCAATCTGTCCGTCCATTCACTTGTCAGACATATACTTTCTGTTTTCCAATACTTTGAGATACAAGTGGGGGGTATGCTTAGCACAACAATGCTTGCAATTTTTCCAAGCTGATGTGAAGGGAACCACTAATTGTAAATCACTGATATTTGACCATGTTGGAGCCACAAATATAGGACATTTTCTTACATATGAGAGAGTTATTCTTCTTCATTCAAAAACCACTTGACAATTTATTAACCACAAGTACCGGGTAGAATTAATTGATTGATTGATTGTTGGTTGCTTTAAAACATCTCAACAAATAGAATGGAAAGTCAAAAGAAAGGATACAGTTTTCCATAAAATAATAACCCAATATTCTAAAAGGTAAATATAACAATTGATGTTAACAAAACTAAGATGTACACATTGGATTATAGGATCTTTATTAGTGCTTTCTTGAATATTCTGGCTCAAGCTATCCGCTTAAAAATTCTGGTCGAAAGCACCTTTCGCCAGGCAAATGCTCTGGGTAACATGTAAGGCTATGAATTATGCCATAATATTGACTTACAATAATTTTTATGCTGCAAATTACTTATAACATGTATATTGCAAACTATTTTTTCAGTACAATTATTCAGTACTGACGTAGGCTGTAGAGATCAGCATAGTTAGTCTACAACTAAAGACAGGTGTCTTTACAACATGCCATGAAATAAATGATGCAGGGCAAAAAAAAAGTGGCAATTCATTAAACAGAAACTGCATAGATATAAAGATTAGGGAATAAAATGTATTTATTTCAGATATAAAGGCTTTGACATAACAAATGTAATACAATTCAAGCCAGAAAACTAACGGCCTTACTTATATACAAAACAAGAAATGAAAAACAAATACGATATACTGCAACAGCAACAATCACTGAATAATAGACTCCTCACTTGGGACAGGCACATACAGAATGTGACGGGGTTAAACATGTTTGAGAGAGCTTAATCCTCCCCTCCCCAGTGACTGTACAACATAAGAAAAAATTATAAAAATATGTTGAAAAAGACTCGACTCATCAGATCAAAAACAATACACACAAAAAAGATCTAAGAAAAGAACTTTAAAAAAGAGACAAAATACCAATTTTAGAGTACTATTTTACAATAAACTACTGTAAATTCAGAAATTATTGCATGCATTTATTATTGCAATTTATGCAGAATGGACAAAATTGCGAGATTAATCATTGCGATTCGGGAAAAAGCTGCATACAGATATATCTGTCATTTATCAGAATGCGAGTTCTTATTATTGCGATGTTTACCTCGCAATAATTTCTGAATTTACAGTACATTTATGCACAAAAAATCACAAATAAAAATGAATACAGTTAGTAAATTAATTTAATTTAAAGGGAGAAATTTGAGAATAATGATTTATTTTTTAATATGTTTTTAGATGAGATACCAGTTAGAGGTTTTATAGGGCATTTAGAAGAAGGAGGTTTTCTACCTCATAACCACAAAGTCTTCCTGTGGGCACATCTCAACTTCAACATAGAATACAATGGAAATCAGGTGTGTTATCATATAAATATAATTCTTAAATGGTTCGCATAATTAGGAATCCCTACTAACATTGGTTACAAGCAATTAGGGAAGTAACTTTTGCTGTTATATTTTTGAAAGACAATGTTTATTGGACCACTTTCCTAACCAATATATACAACAAATTATATTTTGATTGTCCATGTTTATTTGACCACTTTCATAATCAATAAGTTATATTGTACTTTTAGTTAAAATGCCAGATGGCTAAGCAGGAGGTAATATTTTAAATATCACCCTCTCCTGCAGACCAATAAAAAAATAATAATTTAAAAGACAACGAATTGAATTTACATCAACGACTTTAAAGACAATGCTCGGCCTCAGGCCTTTTAGGTTGCATTTCTGTAAATATTGACAATGCAATTTCCCATAAGGACTCCTTTTACAGCTAAAACTGTACCACTTTTACTATGAAGTTTTGAAAAAAATCATATCCTAGAATGGAAAGTTCATATGCATTACTATTTTTTTCAAAGGTCAAAATATAGGACTGTGCGGCATATTTTCAACGTTTATATGCCCCGAACTTCTATGAGTTTAAACTAACACTAAGTTTCTGAACTACCCCTACCTTAACTGTAGGATTACCACAGATTTCAATATAAACAATATGCATATGTATATTTACTGGTAACATTCCCAAGTTATGTCTCTATGAGATGAAACATAGAGATCATAACTGGGAACCAGTATGTAAACAAAATTAATTATCTATGAATATTCTATATCTCCCCAAAAGAGGCTTGGTTTGAGAAACAGCTGTATTTACAAAGTGCAACCTTTAAATTGACTCAACATGAAAAAAATACATCCTTGAAAAATTAGAAATGTAAAAAAATACATCTTGCTTCACTTTTGTTACATTTCTCATGACTAACGACTATTTGACCACTTTCTTAACCAATATAAACAACAATTTATATTTTGATAGACCATTTTTATTAAATATTTAACCTCTTTCTTTTCCAAAATAAACAACATGGTGGCTTGAAACCATTTTCATATACAATATCATTCATTTGAATTTGATCTTTGTTTTGAAAATATTCTTTTGCGATACTTTTTGCACACTATGTCACACCAAATGTCAAGAAATCACACCTGCAACTTTTCTAATTTGTAGGGTGGTTACCCAATGAATGGTGTTGACCTATCTCTTGCAATCCTCCATTGTATAAATTGAATACTTCAAAACCAGCATTCAAAGGAGTTCAATGTCATTTAAGTACAAACATATACTCTTCAAAGTCATATTATGTTAGATTAAAACTTTTATGACATTTATAAGAGATACAGTAGATCCTCTTGTACATAAAATTCCCCAAACAAATTTTTTAAAGTTGTATTTTTCTCTTGTTAATTGTATTAATCTAGAGAAGCTGCAAGACATCTATGGCCAAAGAGTTCAGAGGGTTTTCATACATGCCAAAAACCTTAACATATGCCAACAAAAGGCATCAGATAATTATATTAAAAAAAAATTCATAGAAGAGAATAAGAAGTATTGATTAGTTGCTTTAAAACAAAATTAACTTATTATTATTTTTTATTTTGTTTCAAAAGGTTATATACGCCAACGTGACAACCAAAGAACAGGCACCTGTCAGTCTGGATGGAGTTACTGCCCCTTATGAAGTCGTCTTCACCTACAGTGTAAAATGGATGAAAACAAAGTAAACACTTGTTTAACATTCTTATTCTACAACAAAAAAAACAGAATGATTTTTTGTCTCGCCGGCAACGAAAGTTGCAATACGAGAGACATAGGTATTACAATCTGTTGTTGGCAACGGCGTTAACTATTTGTTTAAAGCTTTATATTTCAGAAGGTAGAATACCTGGATGCTTCATACCTTGTGTGCTGATACCTTATGTAATGAAGTTTCTGTCTGTCATGTTCATTGTCCTTGACCTCATCTTCATGGTTCACTGACTGCTTGAAGAAAAAAAAATTTAATTATTAAGTGAAATACTCACTTATTATGAGTAATAGGATAACTATATTTGGTATATGGGTTTCTTGCAACCTCTACATGTCAGTCAGGTAGAGTTCACCTGACCTCAACCTTATTCCATGGATCAGTGATCAAGGTTAAAAGTCATGTGGTCAAGTCCATATCTCAGATACTATAAGCAATAGGTCAACTATATTTGGTGTATGGAAGGATTGTCATGTGTACATGTCTGTCAGGTAGGTTTCTTATGACCTTGACCTCATTTTCATGGTTCATTGGACAAGTTTTAGTTTATTTTGGTCTACATCTCAGATATAAGCAAAAGGTCAATTATATTTAGTGCATTGAAACAATTGTGAGGTGTACATGTCTGTCTGACAGGGTTCATATGACCTTGACCACATTTTCATGGTTCATTGATCAATGATAAGTTGTAGTAATTTTGTCAGTTTATCAGATACAATGTATTGTAAGCAATATATCAACTTTTTTTGGTGTATGGAATGATAGTAAGGTGTACATGTCTGTCTGACAGGGTTCATATGACCTTGACCTCATTTTCATGGCTCTTTGGTCATTGTTAAGATTTTGTGGTTTGATCTGTTCTCATGTACTATTAGCAATAGGACCACTATATTTAGTGTATGGAATGATTGTAAGGTGTACATGTCTGTCTGGCATTGTTCATCCGACTTTGACCTAATTTTCATAGAACATTGATAATGTTAAGTTTATGTGATACTTGTAGTAAAACCTTCATAATACAGACTTTCAACATAAATTCAATAATAAGTAAAACAAGCGAGACATTTCAGCATGTTCACTCTTTGTTTTTTTTCAGCCCCAAAAAAAATAACATGACAAAATAAATATGCCCCCGCCGTATTGGAGGGGGCAATGAGTTTACCCTTGTCTGTCTGTCCGTCCTTCCGTCTGTAAGTCCAGAAATTGGTTTCCATTCTCTAAGTTTAATTTGCTTCAACCAAATGTTATGAAACTTATGCACAATGCTTATTACCACAAAACACAGATCAAGTTTGAATTTGGGTGGCGTAACTTTTACCTTTCCAGAGTTATGCCCCTTTACAAATGGAAAAATGGCTGAATTTTTTGTTTCCGTTCTCTTACTTAAGTTTGCCTCAACCAAATTTAATGAAACTTATGCACAATGCTTATTACCACAAAACTCAGATCAAGTTCAAATTTGGGAAGTGTCACATCTACCATTCTACAGTTATGTCCCCTTATAAAAACTTCTAGAGTTTCCCATATCTACAAATTGATTCACCCAATTTCTACATTGATGATGGCAATTTGATACTGAGCGTAATAGCAGACAATCTCTGTCTTTCTTGAAAGACTTTGGGTCAGACATTATATTAATTGGCCTAAGTAAGCAGTTAAAATACAATCCTTACATTCATAACATAACAGCCATTTGAAGAGTTTATGTTCATTTTTTATGTTATTTTATCATTACATTGTTCATTGAATTTAAGCTTCTGAATATTCATTTTTTTTACCTAGCCTGCAGAAGGCAAGGTAAGGTATAATTGTTATTTTTCCTAATTTGAAGTTTTCTTAAAAAGCTCATAAAAAAAATAGAACAATGATAGACCATTGATATTTTGTGTATAGTATTATTAGTATCCTTGAATTTCAGTTGTGTTTATTTCATATTTTGTATGTTATTGTACAGGCATCTATGCATTTCAGTTTCAGGCTGATTGAAGGGCTCTAAACCCATTCAGCCATGCTGTATTAACTGGAATTTCTATGTCCCGTCTTGTCTGTCTGTACGTCTGTCTGTACCTACGAAAAATTAGTTTCAGTTTGCCACAACTAAATGTTATGAAACCTATATTTAAAGCTTAGTACCAACAAACACAGATCAATTTCGAGTTTGGGTGGCATCTTTTTCACCGTTCTTCAGTTCTGTCCCTTTATAAATGGAAAAATTGCTAAATTTGACGTTTCCGCACTTTAACCTCATTTTGCATCATTTAAATGTTATGAAACTTGTACACGATGTTTGTTACCACCAAACACAGCTTGAGTTCAAATTTGGGTGGTTTTCAAGTTATTTTCCTATTTTGACCCTTACATTTTACAATTGAAGGCATCTGTCTTGTACACATTCTTCTTTTATTCATTTTTATTATTTTACAATAATGATTTTCTGTTACTTTATATAAAGCAAATATTGTTTCAAAATGTATGAAAAGTATTTTTTTCTTAACAAATTTATCATGATTCAGTATTTTGAAAATATGAGGAGAATATAATTTGTTTTACTTCTTTTTCAGCATGGCTTATGACGATAGAGCTAAGAGAGTACGAGATAACAGCTTCTTCCCTAAAACATTGGAGGTAGATAGTGCAATTCATTTATATAAGTATATGTTCCTTTTGATTTTAATATACTCCCACTCTAGGAGTTGCAGTTATATTTCAATCATCTTGTCCCTTCGTCTTTGTCCGTTCATCTTTTTGTTTGTCAAACAAAATACTTCTGTCACACTTTTTTATCAGATACTAATGAACAGAATGAATAAGTATTAAGTCAGTAGCTTAGCAGTGATCAGTTGTAACATGTGAGCACTTTTTGGATCTTTCAGACACCTTCATCCTGTTAGCAGATAGTTTGAATTTTTCGAAATATTGAATGAATTTTAAAAGTTTTATAACACTTTTCTAAAAACTACTGAACAGAATGACTTCATATCAAGTCAGTAGCTTTGCATTGATGATTGTAAGGTCTGAGAGCTTGTGGGACCTGACAGACACCGGTTTGTTGATACTTTGAATTAGTGTGGAATTTTTTGTTTTCATGGGTACCAATTTCATGGATTGAGGAAAAGTGTTTTTCATAGATATTTGATTTCATGATTTTGCCAAAGTTTGCATATTAGCCTTTAAAAAATTCGTACATCGTTATACCTTTAAATTTGTGGTTAATTTATACCCACAAAATCAATGAACATTGATATCCCACAAATAATTAATTCATAGTGTGCGTAGGGTATGCTTACATGACAACACGTGCAATCTTGTGGATTGTGGATTCTTTTATTTTAGTGAGAACTAATTTTTCATTGAATGAGGATAAATTATATTCTCAAGTAAACATGATTCCATGGTTCTGACAAATTTCAGAAAGTAGAAGACCTGGATGCTTCATACTTTGTATGCCTATACCTTATGTTACAAAGTTCCTGTCTGTCATATGTACATTGTCCTTGACCTCATTTTCATTGGCTCAGTGACTGCTGGAAAAAAAATTATAGTTTTTTTGTCATGTGAATTTCTTACTTATTATGAATAATAGGATAACTATATTTGGCATATGATTTTCTTCCAATATCTACTTGTCCGTCAGACAGAGTTCACTTGATCTTGACCTCATTATATGGATCAATGATCAAGGTTAATGTTACATGATTAGGTCCATTTCTCAGATACTACAAGCAGCAGGTCAACTATATGTGGTGTATGGAATGGTTGTAAGGGATACATGTCAGTCTGGCATGAATCATCTGATCTTGACCTCATTTTCATGGTTCATTGGTCAATGTTAAGTTTTTTGTGTTTTGGTCTGTTTTTCATGTACTATAAGCAATAGGTCAAATATATTTGGTGAATGGAATGATTGTAAGGTGTACATGTCTGTTTTGCAGGTATAATCTGACATTGACCCCATTTTTATGGCTCATTGGTCAATGTTAAGTTTTTGTGTTTTGGTCTCTCTTTCAATTGCCATAAGCAATAGGTCAACTAAATTTGGTGTATGGAGTAATTGTAAGATGTTCATGTCTGTTTTAGGATTTATCTGACCTTGACTTCAATGTCATGGATTTTGAAAATGTTACGTTTATGTAATACTTGTAGTAAAACCTTTATCTTTAAGACTTGATCAGTAAAACAATCGAGAAATTTCAGCTTGTGCTCTCTTGTTCCAACTATTTTATGCTCTTTTTCTAGTTTTGTGATATAAATATATTTAGAAGACCTTTCTGTTGAAAATTACAATTTTTTTTTATATTTTGGTAAATTCGGATATTTGGTCCACTCTTTTGTCAGATAAGAATTATGAAATTTCTTGATTTGACTTGATGAGTCTGTCAGACTTATGATCTTAAATAGGTTGAAGGAGTATATAATAATCATGTTGTCTATCATGTGTTCTGTCAGACTTATGATCTTAAATGGGTTGAAGGAGTATATAATAATCATGTTGTCTAACACGTGTTCTGTCAGACTTATGATCTTAAATAGGTTGAAGGAGTATATAATAATCATGTTGTCTAACATGTGTTCTGTCAGACTTATGATCTTAAATAGGTTGAAGGAGTATATAATAATCATGTTGTCTAACACGTGTTCTGTCAGACTTATGATCTTAAATAGGTTGAAGGAGTATATAATAATCATGTTGTCTAACACGTGTTCTGTCAGACTTATGATCTTAAATAGGTTGAAGGAGTATATAATAATCATGTTGTCTAACACGTGTTCTGTCAGACTTATGATCTTAAATAGGTTGAAGGAGTATATAATAATCATGTTGTCTAACACGTGTTCTGTCAGACTTATGATCTTAAATGGGTTGAAGGAGTATATAATAATCATGTTGTCTAACATATGTTCTGTCAGACTTATGATCTTAAATAGGTTGAAGGAGTATATAATAATCATGTTGTCTAACATGTGTTCTGTCAGACTTATGATCTTAAATAGGTTGAAGGAGTATATAATAATCATGTTGTCTAACATGTGTTCTGTCAGACTCATGATCTTAAATAGGTTGAAGGAGTATATAATAATCATGTTGTCTAACACGTGTTCTGTCAGACTTATGATCTTATTAAATAGGTTGAAGGAGTATATAATAATCATGTTGTCTAACACGTGTTCTGTCAGACTTATGATCTTAAATAGGTTGAAGGATTATATAATAATCATGTTGTCTAACACGTGTTCTGTCATACTTATGATCTTAAATAGGTTGAAGGAGTATATAATAATCATGTTGTCTAACACGTGTTCTGTCAGACTGATGATCTTAAATAGGTTGAAGGAGTATATAATAATCATGTTGTCTAACACGTGTTCTGTCATACTTATGATCTTAAATAGGTTGAAGGAGTATATAATAATCATGTTGTCTAACATGTGTTCTGTCAGACTCATGATCTTAAATAGGTTGAAGGAGTATATAATAATCATGTTGTCTAACACGTGTTCTGTCAGACTTATGATCTTAAATAGGTTGAAGGAGTATATAATAATCATGTTGTCTAACACGTGTTCTGTCAGACTTATGATCTTAAATAGGTTGAAGGATTATATAATAATCATGTTGTCTAACACGTGTTCTGTCATACTTATGATCTTAAATAGGTTGAAGGAGTATATAATAATCATGTTGTCTAACACGTGTTCTGTCAGACTGATGATCTTAAATAGGTTGAAGGAGTATATAATAATCATGTTGTCTAACACGTGTTCTGTCAGACTTATGATCTTAAATGGGTTGAAGGAGTATATAATAATCATGTTGTCTAACATGTGTTCTGTCAGACTTATGATCTTAAATAGGTTGAAGGAGTATATAATAATCATGTTGTCTAACACGTGTTCTGTCAGACTTATGATCTTAAATAGGTTGAAGGAGTATATAATAATCATGTTGTCTAACATGTGTTCTGTCAGACTTATGATCTTAAATGGGTTGAAGGAGTATATAATAATCATGTTGTCTAACACGTGTTCTGTCAGACTTATGATCTTAAATGGGTTGAAGGAGTATATAATAATCATGTTGTCTAACATGTGTTCTGTCAGACTTATGATCTTAAATAGGTTGAAGGAGTATATAATAATCATGTTGTCTAACACGTGTTCTGTCAGACTTATGATCTTAAATGGGTTGAAGGAGTATATAATAATCATGTTGTCTAACATGTGTTCTGTCAGACTTATGATCTTAAATAGGTTGAAGGAGTATATAATAATCATGTTGTCTAACACGTGTTCTGTCAGACTTATGATCTTAAATGGGTTGAAGGAGTATATAATAATCATGTTGTCTAACATGTGGTCTATTCTAAATTGTTGTTGTTAAAAAGAAATTATCGCAATATTTATATATTTATTAAAGAAATTATCACAATATTTAAGGACTTGTTAACACTTTTTATAAGGAATAGATTTTTTGGTCAAATTTGATCTAGATCTATATAAGTGTCTTTTGTCTCTCAATTTCAAGTTACAAAACAGAAGTTATAAAACATTATATAGGACACAAGTAAGACAGATGTACTTTTCTAACTTGCTAATAAGGGGGTAGGTCAACATTTTGCTGACAGATATATATTTCTGATTTACTAAGAAGAGATGTTGGTGATTTAATTGATTGAAATACCAAAGTTAAGAGTTCCTAATGCCAATCCCTAGCCTATGTTATGAATACACTACAGCTCAGCTTGTTTTTTTCATCTGCTAAATGTGGCCAACCCTGTCTATGCCCCCTCAAATTTAACTTCATATTTCGTAAAAAATACTGAATACAAAAGTAGTCAATTTTCTGAGAAATTTATTTTCATTTCTTGTGATGAAAGAGAACTCTATAATTGTCAACTCCACATGACAGGTTCAGTGGACTATTTTACCAACCACAATAATGGACTCCTTTTTATGTCTTTTCCTTCAAATGCTTAATACAAAGTTTAATTAGTAGTTTCCATTGCAAAATGAATGAAGTCTTTACCCCGCAGTGCCTACAAGATTCTTGATTTTTCGGAATTTTTATGCCCCCATTGTAAGTGTTACCCTTGACCTTCCATTTTTCTGTCATTCTTTCATTCCATCTTTCTATCCTTCCTTCTTTCCGTCCTTCCTTCTTTCTGTCCTTCTGTCTTTCTGAGAGGGGGCATTTGTGTCCTCAGACAAAATTCTTCTTTTACTTCGGGGGGATTAAACAAGATGATCATTATTCTTTATGTCATTTAAAGATTTTTTAATTGTAATTCATACACTGTTTTGTATTTTTGTCTGGCCTTGACAGAGTCAAAAAGCATAACATAGGTATGCTGTTTCTGGCGGTGGCGGCGTCAACAATGTATTAGTTTGTGAATAGGTCTAGTTTATCGTGAACCACTAGTGGTAGGTCAGTGATATTTGGTATGCAGTTGTATCAGCATTGGCACATCTCATTTCCATGCCAATTATTTGGCTCCTCCCCCTCAGTCATGGTCTATTGACTTTGAAACTTTCGCTTAGTTTACATGTATTAGTTTGTGAATAAGTCAGTTAATGAGGAAGTGCTAATGTTTAGTCAGTAATATTTGGTATGCAAATTTATTGGCATTTGCAAGACTCATTTCCATGGAGATTATATAGCCCCACCCCTCATCATGGTTCATTGACTTTGAAACTTTTACATAGTTTACAAGTTAATGTTTGTGTTTAAAGGGACTGACTTATGAAATGGTATTTGGTATGCAGTGGTATTAGCATTGGCACATCTCATTTCCATGGAGATTGTTTAGCCATGTACCTTTAGTCATGGTCTATTGACTTTGAATATTTGCATAACTTACATGTTAAAGTATTGATATTTTAATTTCAACAGTTGCATTATCAAAATTACTCTCTGTGTTAACAGTTTATATATTTATTGGTTATCTAAAAAAAATATTAATTCCATGGTCCTACTCATGATTGAAAGCTGATTATGTTATTGGGGCATATCAGGTCTGTACCTCCTTCTGTGTGTTCTTTCATCATTTAGTGTCTCTATGTCCTGTATCAGATCAAATATTTAGTTCAAGGAGTTGATCATGAAGTTATGGTAAAATCAGCTTGAAACTTAGTTCGCATATGCATTATGCATGTTATGCAGTGAACTTTTTGAAATATATGTCAAATTCTGCTTTTGACCCAGATTTTGTGGTTTACTAAACATTAAAATGTGATACATGTAGTACAAGTTGGGCCCTATGAACAAGTATTTTCATTTACTGTGAATTAACTTATTTTTGTGGATACCAATTTTCAGGGATCGAGGAAAACAAAACATTAGAAAATGTGTGATTGAGTGGTTGTTGTTTGTTGCTGTATAAAAGCTATAAAAGGCCCTGAAATGACAAATGTAAAACTATTCAAACAAGAAAACGGCCTGATTTATGTACAAAATAATGAACAAAAAACAAATATGATATACAACAACAAACAACAACCACTCAATTACAGGCTCCTGACTTGGGACAGACACATACATAATGTGGCAGGGTTAAACATGTTTGCTGGCTCCAAACCTTCCTCCTGACCCCGGACAGTGGTGTTACAGTGCAACAATAATCATGTTGTTTTACATGTGTTCTCTGTTCTAGTTGTTAAAAAGAAACTTGTTGAAATATTTAAAGACTTCTTAACAATTTTTGGAAGGATTAATTTTTATGTTCAAATTTAATCTCTATAAGTTGTGTTTTGTAGTTACAAAAAAGAATTTATAAAACATTATATAGGACACAAGTAAGACAGATGTATATTTCTAATTTGCTAATAAGGAGGTAGGTCAACATTTTGCTGACAGATATGTATTTCTGATTTACTAAGAAGAGATGTGGGTGATTTAATTGATTGATATACAAAAATTAACAGTTCCTAATGCCAAACGTTAACCCTAGCCTATATTTTAAATACACCACAGCTCAGCTTGTTATTTTCATCTGCTAAATGTGGCCAATCCTTTCCTGCCTCCTCAAATTTAATTATTATATTTAGTTGATTTGCCGAAGTCTATAAAAAAACCTTTAGAGAATGTATACTTCATTTAAGGGCATACAATACAGTTACAGGGGAAGTAATGACGTTGCTAATGTAAAATGTTAATTTTCGTGACATCAAACTGTGACATATTGGGAAAAGATGCATTTTCTAATGAATTAGATAAATATACAGCAAAAATTGCCGTTCTTTGACTAAAATCATGAAAATATGATAAAAATGAATAATTTCCAAAGAATTGTTACAAAAATTCAAGCATACTTATTTGGAGAAGATATTCCGGATGCTTTTACAAAAATCCGCTTGCGTTTATCTTTTGAAACAAAAATGTTAGGTATATCTTTTCAAAGGATTGAAATGTCAGAGAAACCGAAATTTCCAGTAAATGTCTAAAATTTCGACCCAATTTAATTCTAAAAGTAGCACATGAAGGTATATTTTTTATTACATATTTGAATTAACTAGGTGGAAAATAGCTTGTATGCAAACGTTTGTCAAAAATTCACCGTGGAATCAAAACTGTATCGTATGCCCTTAACAATTGAATTTGTTGTTTACCTATACCCACGAAATCCTCGAAAATTTGTATCCCACAAATGATAATGAATCCACAGTATGTTATTTTGTTTTGTAATTGATGCACCGTTATATATTTCAGATTCACTGGTTGTCCATTATAAATTCCATGGTGCTAGTCTTTCTCCTCATTGGTTTTGTTGTAATTATACTGGTAAGTGTACGTAAACTCATCATAGATATCAGGATTAAAATATTGTAAACCAGACACACTTTTAGTCTACAAAACACAAAGACAACTCTCCATCCAAGTCAAAATTTATAAAATTAAACCATTATAGGTCAAAGTATGGCCTTCAACACGGAGCCTTGGCTCACACCGAACAGCAAGCTATAAAGGGCCCCAAAAATTACTAGTGTAAAACCATTCAAACGGAAAAACCAACGGTCTAATCTATATACAAAACGAGAAACGAGAAACACTTATGAACCACATCAACAAACGACAACTACTTAACATTAGATTCCTGACTTAGGACAGGTGCAAACAATTGCAGGTATTAATCTATTCCTGTGGTAGAAAATCCTTAGTATTTCAATAAATTCAAAGTTTATATCAGATATATAGGGGACTGTATCATGATTAAATGTGTATGTGTTGGAAATGTTTGAGGCTAGGATTGATTGATATTTACTTGTTGGTGTTAGCGCCACTTTTGAGCACTCTTGACTATATCAAGACCTATTTTTATTAGTGGAGGAAGCAGGAGTGCATGGAGGAAACCACCAACAATTGGCGGGGAAAACTGGCAATTAAAATTGGAGTTAAATGTATCTACTATGTGCAGCGTTTAAACTCACAACCTCTGCGATTGCTCTAGATAACCTACTGAGATCACAAGGCTATCAAATTGAATGCATTATATATGTTTCACTTTTATCACTATAAAATGGTTAAACTCTTCTTTTTTAACAAAGAAAATCATTCCTTATAATAAAATTTGATCATCCATATCTGTGTTATTCAGGTTTTCCCTATACAGTCAAAAGTGAAAAGGGTTTCACCATTTGAAAATTCTGCGATATATTTCATATGAAAACATATTTTCAATAAAATTTTCCTTAAGCTATTTCTTGTCAGAATCGAAGGAAATTTTTTCCAATAAATACAAAAGTGTCTGCAGATTTATTCCATAATTATTAAATATATTGATGACTTATACTTTTGTAAAGAAAATCTCTCAAAACAAATATGAATTTCTGTACAAAAGAAAATAGTATATGAAAAAATGACACTTAATTTCGATGTTCATTTATAACGAATGATTTCTAAGTAATAACATAATAACATGGCAGAAAAATATTTCATAACAACCATAAAAATCTGTACTCATTTATGAGTTTAAGGGTAAAATTTCATCAAAATCCAACATAAAGTTTTTGACAATATTTAAAAATAAAAATGTTTTTATATGAAATAAATAAGGGAAATTACCATGTGGTGAGATACTTTGGACCCAAGACTGTACTTCAAAGGAAGATTTTTAACTTTATCGAAAATTTGTCTTCTTTCATTTCAGACACGTGTTTTAAAAAGTGATTTTGCCAGATACAATGTGGATGATGAAGAAAGTGATGATATAGATCAGGAAGATAATGGCTGGAAAATTATACACAGTGACGTTTTCAGATTCCCTTCTTTCAAAAGTCTCTTTACAGCTATACTTGGTAAGGGGTACTCATAGTAAAAATGTTTGTAAGTCGCAGAAAGCTCGATATAGGGATAGTGATCCGGCGGTGGCGGTGGCAGTGGCGTTAGCTAACTTCTTAAAAGCTTTATATTTTCCAAGGTGGAAGACCTGGATGCTTCATACTTTGTATATAGATGCCTCATGTTATGAAGTTTCTGTCTGTTATATGTCCTTTGTCCTTGACCTCATTTTCATGGTTCAGTGACTACTTGAAAAAAAGTTAAGATTTTTTGTAATGTTAATTTCTCTCTTATTATGAGTAATAGGATAACTATATTTAATATGTGCGTACCTTGCAAGGTCCTCATGCTGTCAGACAGTTTTCATCTGACCTCGACCTCATTTCATGGATCAGTGAACTAGCTTAAGTTTTCGTGGTCAAGTCCATATATCAAATACTATAAGCAATAGGTCTTCTATATTTGGTGTATGGAATGATTGTAAGGTGTACATGTCCAACTGGCAGGTGTCATGTGACCTTGACCTCATGTTCATGGTTCAGTGGTTTAAAGTTAAGTTTTTGTGTTTTGGTCTTTTTTCTAATACTATATGCAATAGGTCAACTATATTTGGTGTATGGAAATATTTTACAATGTACATGTCAGTCTGGCAGGTTTTATTTGACCTTGGCCTCATTTTCACGGTTTCATTGCTCAGTGTTTAGTTTTTGTGATTTGGTGTGTTTTTCTTAAACTATAACCAATAGGTCAACTATATTTGTTGTATGGAATGATTTTGAGGTGTATATTTCTGTCTGGCAAGTATCACCTGACCTTGACCTCATTTTCATGGTTCATTGGTCAATGTTAAGATTTCCTGGTTAAGTTTGTTTCTTAGATACTGTAAGCAATAGGTCAACTATATTTAATGCATAGATTGATTGTAAGGTGTACATGTTTGTCTGGCATGGTTCATCTGACCTTGACCTTATTTTCATGGTTCATTGGTCAATGTTCAGTTTTCCTGTTTAAATCTGTTTCTTAGAAACTATAAGCAATAGGTCAACTATATTTGGTGTATGGAATGATTGTAAGGTGTACATGTATTTCCGGTTTGGTATATCTGACCTTGACCTCATTTTCTTGGATCATGTTAAGTTTATGTGATACTTTTAGTAAAGCTTTATATTTAGGACTATCAACATAAAATCAATGGTCAGTAAAGAAGGCGAGACATTTCAGCGTGTGCACTCTTGTGTGTTTAGGTATCATATGGGCTAAGAATAGAATGGCTGGAAATTTATACACAGTGAAGTTTTCAGATTCAAAAGTCTTTTTACATGTCTCGCCAAAGGCTGCTTGTCAATAGTTTGAAATTTTTGAACACTCATTGTACAAGGAAAATTTTCCTCAAGCTTTTCTTGTCTTTTATGGAAGGGAATGGTTTTATATTTGGTCTTGAGCTTGATAATGTTGAGTTGTAGGGTGTAAGCAATTTTTACATCTGCCGTGCAACCACTTCCTGTTTGCCAATAGTTTGAAATTTAATGACTATATCAGGAAATTGGTTGGCAGCCATATTTAAGTATCACTACATTTATATGCTAGTTGCTTTGACAAGAATGGTCTTAATGATTTTATCATAATTTTTGCAGGGGTTGGTAGCCAGTTTTTAGCCTTAGCAACCGGTATTATGGTGATGGCTGTATTAGGAATGTTTAACGTACACCATCATGGATCTATCAACTCAGCAGGAGTTATACTGTATGCTTTTACATCAGGTAAGTCTTGTTTTTTAGTAGTTTAACTGGCAATGACATTTTACACAGGGGATGTTTTTCTTTCGGCTTTAAACAGTTTTTAAAGTTTTGAACTTTGAAATTCTTCACAAATCTCTCAACCAAGGAACTACTACTTGATGAACATTGATGAAACATAAGTAATTAATGCACATATTCTGTATGTATGGTTTCCTATTGTAAAACACGGACTAGCACGCCTACAAATTGGTTAGAAATCATGTATTTGCAATTAATTATATACATATGGATGAATTTAAGTCAAGATTTCACAGAATCTGTCTTACAAAATGATATTATGCACTTCTTATTATTTTGCTTTATCAGAATGATTTGTGGGGTTTTCTACAACTTTGATTTTTACGCTACACCCCAAAGTGATAAAGTTTACTTAATTAAAAAGCACTAAAATACAAAAGCCACCACATATTCTGACTGAAAAAAAAATCCATAATTTACTTTCCGGTTTTCCAATAAAATGAAATTCTGTATCCCAAAATTTAAAAAAAGAGTGCTGTATAAAACACAAAAATGCCAGATATTCAAAGAAAAAAATTGTGTATTTTAAAGTCAGTAAATAACTGTTGAGAATATTCTTTTTTGTAGGCATTGCAGGTTATGTTGCAGCTAACATGTACAAAGTTTTAGGGGGAGATAACTGGGTGTGGAATCTCAATCTCACTTCCTGTTTATTTGCTGGTAAGTAACCATGGCATCCTGAATTCACATGGCTGTATACAAAAATCAAGCTGTTAGAACCAAGAAATAAAACAAGAATGAAAATATTATTTTCCTTTTGCTCAACTCCTGGAAATTTTGCCATTAAGATAACATTAGAAAAATATACACTCACTTAAATTTAGGGTTGAGGAAGATTTTTTGATAAATAAGTTAAAAGTAAAACTTTGAGAACAGGTTTAGCCCTAGAACTGCGCAGTTTGAAAGTTTTATAGATAAACAACTTTAAATCCTACATTTTACCATGATATATACTTTTGACATTTTTTTATTTATATAAAGTAATATATGAATTCCTATTTTCCTAGGGATTATTTTTTTTTAATCTATGATTTTTGCACCAGAGGAAAATAATGGTAAAAACATTTCTCTTTTTATTTTAATATTTCTGTTTTTGATTAACCATTATATAAGATGATAAGTAAAAAAAATATGAAAGGGAGGCGGAAAGATGCCAAACGGACATTCAAACTCATAAGTCGAAAACAAACTGACAAAGCCATGGCAAAAAATGATGAAAAGACAAAAAACAGAATGCAAAACACAACTTAGAAAAACTAAAGACTGAGCAACATTCAAAATACAAATAACACAGCTACAATTAAAATGTGAATTTTAATGAATTGATTTTTATGTTGTACAGTTATTTGACTACAGGAAATAATTAAACCACAATGTAGTGATTCTAAAAATAACAAATTATACTCTTACTTTGAAAATTGGCAACCAGGAAGTGAATAAATGGAAAGCAGTTATGACTTTGTTATTATTTCAGCACCATTGTTTATGGTATGGGCATTTGTGAATTCTGTTAATTACATGATAAAAGCTCTTCCATTTTATTGTTTATGACCTTAAATTATTTAATTAAACAAAAAAGATTTGATTGAACAAACAATCTTATATATTATTTTTATCTTTCAATAGACTTAAATGAAGATGGTTTAATATTTCCCTATCAAAGGCTTTTTATAGTGAACTAGACTTTTTTTTTTAACCTATTTTTTTTTTGTCGAGCCTGCGACTTTTGTCGCAGAAAGCTCGACATAGGGATAGTGATCCGGCGGCGGCGGCGGCTACGGCGGCCGCGGCGTTAGCTAACTTCTTAAAAACTTTATATTTTAGAAGGTGGAAGGTCTGGATGCTTCATACTTTGTATATGGATGCCTCATGTTACGAAGTTTCCGTCAGTCACATGTCCAATGTCCTTGACCTCATTTTCATGGTTCAGTGACTACTTGAAAAAAAAGTTAAGATTTTTTGTAATGTTAGATTCTCTCTTATTATAAGTAATAGGATAACTATATTTGGTATGTGCGTACCTTGCAAGGTCCTCATGCCCGTCAGACAGTTTTCACTTGACCTCGACCTCATTTCATGGATCAGTGAACAAGGTTAAGTTTTGGTGGTCAAGTCCATATCTCAGATACTATAAGCAATAGGTCTAGTATATTCGGTGTATGGAAGGACTGTAAGGTGTACATGTCCAACTGGCAGGTGTCATCTGACCTTGACCTCATTTTCATGGTTCAGTGGTTATAGTTAAGTTTTTGTGTTTTAGTCTGTTTTTCTTATACTGTATGCCATAGGTCTACTATATTTGGTGTATGGAATGATTGTAAGGTGTACATGTCTAGCGGGCAGGTGTCATCTGACCTTGACCTCATTTTCATGGTTCAGTGGTCAAAGTTAAGTTTTTGAGTTTTGGTCTTTTTTTCTAATACTATATGCAATAGTTCAACTATATTTGGTATGTGCGTACCTTGCAAGGTCCTCATGCCCGTCACACAGTTTTCACTTGACCTCGACCTCATTTCATGGATCAATGAACAAGGTTAAGTTTTGGTGGTCAAGTCCATATCTCAGATACTATAAGCAATAGATCTATTATATTCGGTGTATGGAAGGACTGTAAGGTGTACATGTCCAACTGGCAGGTGTCATCTGACCTTGACCTCATTTTCATGGTTCAGTGGTTATAGTTAAGTTTTTGTGTTTTGGTCTGTTTTTCTTATACTGTATGCCATAGGTCTACTATATTTGGTGTATGGAATGATTGTAAGGTGTACATGTCTAGCGGGTAGATGTCTTCTGACCTTGACCTCATTTTCATGGTTCAGTGGTCAAAGTTAAGTTTTTGAGTTTTGGTCTTTTTTTCTAATACTATATGCAATAGGTCATCTATATTTGGTGTATGGAAATATTTTATGATGTACCTGTCAGTCTTGCAGGTTTTATTTCACGGTTCATTGCTCAGTGTTAAGTTTTTTCGTTTTGGTCTGTTTTTCTAATACTATAAGCAATAGGTCAACTATATTTGTTGTATGGAAGGATTGCAAGCTGTAGTACATGTCTGCCTGGCATTGTTCATCTGACCTTGACCTCATTTTCTTGGTTCATTGGTCAATGTCTAGTTTTCTTGGTTAAGTCTGTATTTTAGAAACTATAAACAATAGGTCAACTATATTTAGTGTATTGAATGATTGTAGGGTGTACATGTATTTCTTGTTTGGTTTATATGACCTTGACCTCATTTTCTTGGATCATGTTAAGTGTATGTGATAGTTGTAGTAAAGCTTTATATTTAGGACTATCAACATAATATCAATGATTAGTAAAGAAGGCGAGACATTTCAGCGTGTGCACTCTTGTTTTAACTAGACTTTTTTTTCACGATTTTGGATGGATGAAAAGGGATGTTTATTATACACAACTGCGTACAATACACCGCAAAATACGGTACACTCATACTTTGAAAATTGGCAACCAGGAAGTGAAAGAATGGAAAGAAATTATGACTTTATTATTATTTCAGCACCATTTTTTACGGTATGGGCATTTGTGAATTCTGTAGCCTGGGGTTATGGTACAACACAAGCTTTACCTTGGCAGACAGTGGTATTATTAATGTGTTTGTGGGTGTTTGGTAAGTATCTATATTCCTCTGTATTACTTTGAAACTTCCCTATAATAAACAAACAAATACAGTATCTATCATTCAAAATGTAAAAAAAGGGGCCTCGGTGGCCGAGTGGTCTAAGTAGGTCATCTTGGTGGTTGAGTGGTCTAAGTAGGTCATCTTGGTGGTCGAGTGGTCTAAGTAGGTCATCTATTGTGATCAATAGCTGGTCAACGCTGAGGTTGTGAGTTCAAAACCTGGTTGTGGCAAGGTGCGTTTGACTCAAATCTTAATTGATAAGGACTGCCAATTTTCCTATGAAGATCAGTGGTTCTCTCCAGGTAATATGGCTTCCTCCATCAATGAAAACTGGCTGTCATGATTTACCCAAGTGTCCTGAAAGTGGTGTTAAACACAATCAATCAAAATAAAAAATGATTAATGTGCAATGTCTGCAAAAGCTAATATTAATTTAATATTCCCATATTTAAAATCCAGTAAATAGTATCCTTCACAAACACCCAGACATCTTTAACATTTTTAAACACCTGAAAAAGTTGAATTTAATATCAATGATCCCTAAGTGCTATTTTATGCAAATTTATTATTGATTTTTTTGTCTGCAATTTAAGCAGGAAAAGGGCTCAGCCTGAGATTTCTATGGCATTTAGAGGTTATCACATATTAATAGAATTGAGCCTTTTGTGACAATAAGCACACATGTTCTTATGTTGTTCCAGATGCAAAGTTAAACATTTTCCCATAACAATGGATACCAAAGGGATATTCAAACTCATAAGTCAAAAACAAATTGACAACGCCATGGCAAAATAGGAAAAACCATCAAAAGACAAATAACAGTATACAAAACACAACATAGAAAACTAAAGACTGAGCAACACAAACCCCACCAAAAGGCTACTGTCTTTTAGATTGTTATAAATAAAAAACAGATTATTTTACAGAATAATTACTGATTATTGCTACATTCTCTTTTGTTTATAAGGTTTTAAGTACAAAACTCAATGAAAAATCGTTTATTTTTACAAAAAACTTGGAATTGGTAGAAAAGAATTATTAATTTTTATGATGAGATATTTTTGTTTTTAATTAAAGTTTTTAAACACCAAACTCGATGAAAATTTGTTTATTTTACAAAACTCTGAATTGGTAGAAAAGAAGCATTAATTTTTTTTTATATGGTTTTTCAAAACAAAACTCAATAATTTAATTTTGGATGTAACGCGTCTTCTGATTGGCTGACGTTGTTTTGTTTATCAGCTCATAGACATAATTTTGTCATGTGACCGTGACGTCAGCAACGTTTTTTCATGGTTTACTCCCGTTTAAAATGGAATTTAGAATTAAATTATAAGAAATGATTGTAATATTTTTTCTGTCTATTCGAAATAACATAAAAAATGTTATTTCTTCATAGACAGAAAAAATATTACAGTCATTCCTTAAATGAAAAATGTTTATTCCACAAAAACTTGCAAATATTTGTTATCAATGGGAAGGAAAAGAAGTGTTATTTATTGTAATTTTGTTTATAAGGTTTTCATTAACATGTTTACTAAACAAATACTCGTAAACAAATTCTTCTAAATGGGAAGAAAAAAAGTGTTATTTATTTTAATTTTGTTTATAAGGTTTCAATTAAAAATTGTTTTCTAAACAAAAACTTGTTAGTATGTTTTCTCAATGGGAAGAAAAAAAGTGTTATTCATTGCAATTTTGTTTATAAGATTTTCAATGAAAAATTTGTTTACTAAACAAATACTCTTAAATATTTGTTCTCAATGGGAAAAAAAGAAGTATTTATTGTAATTTTGTTTATAAAGTTTGTCCATAAATAGTGTAAACTATATGTATAAAGCATTATATTTCAGAAGTAGATGACCTGGATACTTCATACATTGTGTGTAGATACCTTATGTTACGAAGTATCAGTCTGTCATATGTACATTGTCCTTGACCACATTTTCATGAATCAGTGACTGCTTGAAAAAAAATTAGATTTTGTCTCGCTTGACGGGGTCAAAAAGCGAGACATAGGTATGCTGTTTCTGGCGTCGGCGACAACGGTGGCAGCGGTGGTGGCTTCAACAATGTATTAGTTTATGATTAGATCTAGTTTGTGGTGAACCACAAGTTGTTGGTCAATCATATTTGGTATACAGTTGTATTAGCATTGGCACATCTCATTTCCATGGAAATTATTTGGCCCTGCCCCCTCAGTCATGGTCTATTGACTTTGAAACTTTTGCTTACTTTACATGTATTAGTTTGTGATTAAGTCAGTTAATGAGGAACCATTAGTGGTAGGTCAATGATATTTGGTATGCAGTTGTATACCGGTAAGCATAAGCATATCTCATTTCCATGGAGATTATTTGGCTCAGCCCCCTTAGTCATGGTCTATTGACTTTGAAAATTTTGCTTAGTTAACATGTATTACTTTGTGATTAGATCAGTTCAAGGGGAACCATTAGTGGTAGGCCAATGTTAATTGGTATTCAGTTGTATAAGCATTAGCACATCTCATTTCAATGGAAAATATTTGGCATCATCCCCTCAGTCATGGCCTATTCACTTTGAAACTTTTGCTTAGTTTACATGTATTAGTTTGTGATAAGATCAGTTTAAGATGAACTGCTAATCTTAAGTCAATGATATTTGGTATGCAAATTTATCAGCATTTGTAAGTATCGTTTCCATGGAGATTATATAGCTCCTTCTTCATGGTTCATTGACTTTGAAACTTTTACATAGTTAATGTTTGTGTTTAGGTTTGTTTAAAGGAAAAAACTTATAATAAGTCAATAATATTTGGTACATTTACATGGAGATGGTTTAGCCATATACCTCAGTCATGGTTCATTGACTTTGAATATTAGCCTAACTTGTTAAATATTGCCATTTTAATTTCAACATTTGCATAATCAAAATTACAAAAAAGCGAGACATATCTCTGTGATAACAGTTTATTTTTTTTTCTAATGTGAAATACTCACTTATTATGAGTAATAGGATAACTATATTTGATGTATGGGTTCCTTGCAAGGTATGCATGTCTGTCAGACAGGGTTCACTTGACCTCGACCTCATTTCATGGATCAGTGATCAAGGTTTAGTTTATGTGGTTAAGTCAGTATCTCAGATACTGTAAGCAATAGGTCAACTATATTGGTGAAGGTGTACATGTCCAACTGGTAGGTATCATCTGACCTTGACCTTATTTTCATGATTCATCAATGTTAAATTTGTATAATTCTTATAGTAAAACCTTCATATTGAAGACTTTCAACATAAAATTCAACCATATTAAGTAAAGCAGGCGAGACATTCAGCATGTACACACATAATAAGGTATTCAAGATCCCAAAGGTACATTCAAACTCATAAGTCGAAAATAAACTGACAACGCCATGGCTAAAAAATAAAATAAAAAACTGAGCAACACGAACCCCACCAAAAACTGGGGGTGATCTCAAATCCTCACTTAAATCAGTAAAAAAATTTCCATATTGCTGAGACTAGCAATGAGAATCTGATTCAGGCCATGAGAATGTTGCAGGCAGGTATACGTCAACTTGTTGTTGCTAGACTAGTTTCAAGTCATAAACTCATTTAACAGTCCTTTAAACAACGGAACAGGCAGATAGGATTTGTTAATGACCACCCATGACCAGATCAGCCTGTAGTGACAACGCCATGTCAATAAAAATCACTATGCAAACGTCATTTTTCGAGACAGGTTTACAGCTGCAGCATCAACTGAATAACCAAGTGGTTAGATGTCAGTCCAGACAGTTTCACATCATTAATGTTTCCAATATACTGAAATGCCATAGAATAGACTGCATAGAAACTTTTTCTGGCTGCAGTTTAAACTGCATAATTACTGTAAATTCAGAAATTATTGCATGCATTTATTATTGCGATTTTTAAAGAACAGACAAAAATGTGAGATTAATTATTGCAATTTCAAGAAAATCTTCATACAGATATATGTTTCAGTTATCAGAATGCGAGTTCTTATTATTGCGATACTCAACCAGTCGCATTATTCGCATTGATAAAAACTTCGCAATAATTTCTGAATTTACAGTACCAAAATAGACTGTACTGATCAAATCAGAGGCCAAATCAATAGGAACTAAATACCTGATACAAATGTTGAAGTGTGTATAAAACCAAAAAGGACCAAAAGTAAATCAAAACCTGGACAATGATTCATAGCTGTGCATGAGGGAGATACATTCCTTATTTTAACATTATTTTGAAATTTTATGACATCAAATTTAAATCAAGCAATATCCGTATTTTCATGCCAGTTTGGAAGTACTGACTATTTTTATATTTCTGTTAATAAGTTTTTTACAGTTTTTCTGTTTAATTTTCAACAGCAATTTCATCGCTAGACACATTCTAAAGTCTTGATTTGAACTTTAAATTGAGAAAATATATTGCAGTTCTTGAGTTCAATGTTTTGACAGCTTTCAATATAAGTATCAAATGTTAAAAAGAAACTGTGTGCGTATATTATTAAAAGATATCTCCCCTGGAGACATTTTGTTTATGTCCTGTCCACCTGTTCCGAGTTTACAGTTTGTATGTGTATTGAAAAGTTTGACAATTTAAATTTTGAATTGTTAACCTTTGAATGGAACAAAAACTTGATAAAAGTACAACACTTGTGGTTGTTGACCTATTATTTATACTTTTTTTTTTTAATTTTTGTTCCTTTGAATTTTTTTTTTTTAGTTTTCCCAAATAAAGTTAAGACTTTGCCATTTCTCCTAAGGGCATATGATACAGTTACAGGGGGGATAATGACGCTGCTAATGTCATCATATGTTATTTTTCACGATGTCAAACTGTGACATATTGGGAAAAGATGCATTATTCGACTGATTTTAATTATTTACTTTAAAACAAGTACATGGAGCTCTCTTCTTTAAAATGATATTTGGCTTGATTATATGTATGCAGATTATTTGTACCAATTTTTATGAACAAATCACCGATGTTTTTTTTAAAATTATATATATATACAGCAAAAATTACTGCCGTTTTATTCTAAAAGCATGAAAATTTAATAAGAATGAATTATTTTCAAAGAAAAAGTTAGGTATGTCTGTCCAAAGGCATCCAAAATTTTGAGCAAATGTCTAAAATTTGGACCCCAATTATCTCTTTAAGTAGCACATGAAGGTATATTTTTTATTACATATTAAATAGACTAGATAAAAAAAATAGCGTGTATGCAAATTGTAAAAAAATCACTGTTGGATCAAAATTGTATCGTATGCCCTTAATTCCACTTTGATTGTTTGTGATTTTTGCCAAATGAATCTGCTTGAATTTACAATTGGAAGAGAACAGATCACAGGGTTCTCATTAAATGTTGATAACAGTATGTGTTTGTCCACCATTTTCTGATAGTGCAATAAATAATCTTGAATTTTTGTCTATTATTCATCAATTGCAATAATTAATGCCATACACATTTCTGAATACTGTAAATTCAGAAATTATTGCATGTATTTATTATTGTAAATTCAGAAATTATTCATGTATTTATTATTGTAAATTCAGAAATTATTGCATGCATTTATTATTGAGATTTTTGAAGAATGGACAAAAATGCGAAATTAGTTATTGCGATTTCAGGAAAGTCTGATATAGGAAGATGTGGTATGAGTGCCAACGAGACAACTCTCCATCCAAGTTACAATTTATAAAAGTAAACCATTATAGGTCGAGGTACGGCCTTCAACACGGAGCATTGGCTCACACCGAACAGCAAGCTATAAAGGGCCCCAAAAAATTACTAGTGTAAAACCATTCAAACGGAAAAAAACCCAACGGTCTAATCTATATAAAAACGAGAAACGAGAAACACATATGAACTACATAAACAGACGACAACTACTGTAATCAGGACAGGTGCAAACATTTGCAGCGGGATTAAACGTTATAATGGTACCAAACCTTCACCCTTTTCAGAAACAATAGTATAACATCACAACATAGCATAAATACATATATATAGATCAGATATCAGAATACGAGTTCTTATCATTGTGATACTCACCCAGTTGCATTATTCACATTAATAAAAACCTCACATTAATTTCTGAATTTACAATATTTCAGTATACAGCTACATGATATGATTTGTTTTTTTATTTGTAGTTGGTTATCCATTAACTATTATTGGTGGGATCTTTGGTAAAAATTGGGCCACAGGATTTGATGCACCTTGCCGGACAAAGAATTTCCCCCGAGAGGTCCCCAGTGTTCCATGGTACAGATCATCATTTGCACATTGCGTTGTTGGAGGATTTTTACCATTTAGGTAATTTAACAAAATACTACATAAATGGAGTTTGGTTTTTTTTTTACGACATTATGTTTATCAGTTCTATTTCTATGGAATTACAGTTTATTTTTGCCACATGATATTTTTCAGTTCAATAACAGTGGAGTTGTACTATATATAAAAGATATGGTATGATTGCCAATGAGACAACTCTCCACCAGAGACCAAATGACATAGAAGTTAACAACTAGGTCACAGTATAGCCTTCAAAAATGAGTAAAACCCATACCGCATAGTAAGCTATACAAGGCCCTGAAATGACAAATGTAGAACAATTGAAATGAGAAAACTAATGGTCTGATTTATGTACAAAACAATAAGCGAGAAACAAATATGGTATACAGGAAGAAACGACAACCACTGAATTACAGGCTCCTAACTTGGGACAGGCACATACAGAATGTGGCAGGGTTTAACATGTTTGCTGGCAACAAACCCTCCCCCAAACCTAGGACAGTCTTATGATAGTACATGAAATCAAACTAAAAAATCAGTTGATAAGGGCTTAACTCACCAGATCAATACAAAGAACAAAACAGGGCTTAACTCACCAGATCAATACAAAGAACAAAACAAGAAAAACTAACAAAAACAGAAAAGACACAAAGTATATTTGTTTCTCATATTATTTTTTAGTGCTATATCAGTGAAATTGTACTCATACATGTGATTTTGCAGTGCTATATCAGTGGAATTGTACTATATTTTTTTGATACTATTTTTCAGTGCAATATAACTGGAGTTGTACTATATTTGTTTCTCACATTAATTTCAGTGCAATATTTGTGGAATAGTACTATAACTGTATCTCACATTATATTTCAGTGCTATATCAGTGGAGTTGTACTATATATTTGCCACATTATGGGGACGAGAACAGTACACACTGTACGGTATCCTATTCATTGTGTACGGTATATTGATCAGTGTGACTGGCTGTATATCAATAGCACTGACATACTTCCAGCTCTCCGCCGAGGACTACAGATGGTGGTGGAGGTCTATATTTAGTGCTGGGTAAGTATATATTGGACAATTTTAACTTTCTTTTTATGAATGAGTAATGAGGTAAATCTGCATAAATTACATCATTGAAAAATTTGCTCTTACTGTGACGTAATAACATAGTCATTGTGACATTGGAAATGTATGGGAAAATATACATATATAATTTAATTTTGTATGTAAGGCGTCTTCTGATTGGCTGACGTTGTTTTGTTTATCAGCTCATAGACATAATTTTGTCATGTGACCGTGACGTCATCAACGTTTTTTCATGGTTTACTCCGGTTTAAAATGGAATTTAGAATTAAATTATAAGAAATGACTGATATATTTTTTCTGTCTATTCCAAATAACATAAAAAATGTGGTGCACACTTTAAAATACACATATGTAAAAGACGTCTATTGTAAGACAGCATGGAACATTTTTAGCTCACCTGGCCCAAAGGGCCAAGTGAGCTTTTCTCATCACTTTGCGTCCGTCGTTCCTGCGTCCGTCGTCCGTCGTCCGTAAACTTTTACAAAAATCTTCTCCTCGGAAACTACTGGGCCAAATTTGACCAAACTTGTCCACAATCATCAATAGGGTATCTAGTTTAAAAAATGTGTCCGGTGACCCGGCCAACTAACCAAGATGGCCGCCATGGCTAAAAATAGAACATAGGGGTAAAATGTAGATTTTGGCTTATATCTCTGAAACCAAAGCATTTAGAGCAAATCTGACATGGGGTAAAATTGTTTATCAGGTCAAGATCTATCTGCCCTGAAATTTTCAGATGAATCTGAAAACCCGTTGTTGGGTTGCTGCCCCTGAATTGGTAATTTTAAGGAAATTTTGCCGTTTTTGGTTATTGTCTTGAATATTATTATAGAAAGAGATAAACTGTAAACAGCAATAATGTTCAGCAAAGTAAGATCTACAAATAAGTCAACATGACCAAAATGGTCAGTTGACCCCTTAAGGAGTTATTGCCCTTTATAGTCAATTTTTAACCATTTTTCGTAAATTTTTGTAATCTTTTACAAAAATCTTCTCCTCTTAAACTACTAAGACAAATTTAACCAAACTTGTCCACAATCATCATTAGGGTAACTAGTTTAAAAAATGTGTCCGATGACCCGCCCGCGAACCAAGATGGCCGACATGGCTAAAAAATAGTTCATAGGGTAAAATGCAGTTTTTGGCTCATATCTCTGAAACCAAAGCATTTAGAGCAAATCTGACAAGAATAAAATTGTTCATTAGGTCAAGATCTATCTGCCCTGAAATTTTCAGACCAATCAGGCAACACGTTGTTGGGTTGATGCCCCTGAATTGGTAATTTTAGGAAAATTTTGCAGCTTTTGGTTATTATCTTGAATATTATTATAGATAGAGATAAACTGTAAACAGCAATAATGTACAGCAAAGTAAGATCTACAAATAAGTCAACATGACCAAAATTGTCAATTGACCCCTTAAGGAGTTATTGCCCTTTATAGTCAATTTTTTATAATTTTCATAAATTTTTGTAAATTTTTACAAAATATTTTCCACTGTAACTACTGGGCCAAGATCATTATAGATAGAGATAATTGTAAGCAGCAAGAATGTTCAGTAAAGTAAGATCTACAAACACATCACCATCACCAAAACACAATTTTGTCATGAATCCATCTGTGTCCTTTGTTTAATATGCACATACTGACCAAGGTGAGCGACACAGGCTCTTTAGAGCCTCTAGTTTGTGAAGTTGCAATTTACCAAAGGCATCATGAAAGGATAGTCCACATCTGATATCTTTGGATTACTGTCATTTCATGTACTTTCATGGATACCAATTTTTTGTGGATTAAGGAAAAAATAGTATTTTCATGGATACTTAATTTCCTGGGTTGGACAAATTCTACATACAAAACTTTAGGGAATTTGCACCGTTTAATACTAAAAAAAATTGTCCACCTTAACGCATAAAAATTAGTACCTCACGAATAATAATAAATTGCACCAAAAACTTTTAACATTATACAGGACAGATTAATGAACAGAGTACAGACCAGAAATAATTTCTGATTATCATTGTTTTATTTTGTAGGTCCACAGGATGTTTTGTCTTTCTGTATGCCATGTTCTACTACTTCAAGAGATCCAATATGTCTGGTGCCCTGCAGACAATCGAGTTTTTCGGCTATACTTTTCTCACATGTTACGTTTTCTTCCTTATGTTGGGAACAGTATCATTTTTTGCATCATTGAATTTTGTTAGATATATTTATGTCAATTTGAAAATGGATTGATGCTGATGACAGATTTGATATTTATTTTTTCATATTGTTGATTTAATTCCTTTTGTAAAGAAGAAGGCGTGATGAGAGCCAATATTTGGTCCCGGAAATTGCATGTTGAATTTAACATATTTGACCTATTTTGACATTACACATAGATTTTGGACCAGATAGATACAAGCAACTGCCTTTCCAAAAAGATATTTTACATATATTATCATCTGTGTTAAATACTTCTTGTAGCAAAATATCTTAAGGTCTGTTGCTTGTCTCTAAAAAGTAATGACAAGATTTCAAAATGAGGCTATTTTATAGCAATTTATGCAGTTTTGCACCAATTTCAAGAAGTTTGAATCCCTAATAAAATATGCTCGATACAATTAAAAATATGAATACTGGTGTCTGACAGACTAATGTCTTATAAACATCTGAAGGATGTTTTTTTGTAGATTTATCATACTTTTTTTAATGTCTTATAAACATCCGAAGGATGTTTTTTTGTAGATTTATCATACTTTTTTTATTTCCAAATTCAAGGGGCCAAAAAAGTGGCTGTATCCTGGCTTTTCCTTTTGGATAGACTTGTCACAGATGGTTGCCTAACAACTTGTTTTTAAGGTGGTATATAACTCTACAGGGAGGTAACTCTGTAAAAATCAGCTTAACGTTTTAATCATATTCTATTGTAATGGAAATTTTAAGCTTCTCAATGATCAAAATTAGTGATTATCAAACTGCTATAAATCCAATGAAATTTTTCCGATAAATTGTGTGGTTCAAGTTTTTTGAAATTTTTTATATTTTTTTCAAAGGGCCAAAGTAAATATTTGTCAAAATTTTATAAAATTAAATGAGCCAAATAAATTTTAGTCAATGTTTTTGGTACTAACTTAAAACACCACTAAGACTTTAATACAGTTATGAGGAAAGAAATTTACACTCATTTCTTTGTTTTTTTAAGGAAAATAAATGTGCAGAATATGTATTCTAGTGAAGAAAACAAATGTCCAGAATGAATAATATATTATTCGGGATCTTCACAAGGTTATTGACTCATATTCCCTGTCAGTGTTTATATCTCCTGGGCTGTCTGGTGAAAGAGATATAGGACACCGACAGAGAATTTGAGCCTACATCTTCAGTAAAGCCCAAATAACAATTATATTATATTGGCGTGTCCTAATTTCAACATTCATTACCATTCTGGTTTTATAATATAATAGTTTTTTAGTGAAGAAAATAAATTTGCAAAATATAAGATTTTCCACAAAAACATGGATATCACATACTCTACCTTGGAATCATTGGGAACAAATATATCAAGGGAGATAAGCCAACTATCTGTGACAAGTTTACCACATTGCGGGACTAATATTATACATAGGAAGCAATTTTGTTGTGGATCTATATTTTTAGTTGTTTTGTATCATTGTGTTTTCTGGTGTTTTTCATTCTTGCCTAGTAATGCTAAATACATCGTAGAACTTCATTTCTCATGATTTTTTTTTTTTATTAATTTTTTAGTGTATTTATAATAGACTCGATGAATAAACAAAAAATCTTTACATTAAAGTATTGTACAAGTAGATGTATGATCTAGAAAAATAGTTGTTTAATCTTAAAAGCAGATTTCAGTTCAATTAGTTAGTAATGGCAAGAGTTATCAATATGGAAGGGGAGATAACTTCTGTCAACCTTTTATCCGTTTTTGTCGAGCCTGCGACTTTTGTCGCAGAAAGCTCGACATAGGGATAGTGATCCGGCGGCGTTAGCTAACTTCTTAAAAGCTTTATATTTTAGAAGGTGGAAGGTCTGGATGCTTCATACTTTGTATATGGATGCCTCATGTTACGAAGTTTCTGTCAGTCACATGTCCAATGTCCTTGACCTCATTTTCATGGTTCAGTGACTACTTGAAAAAAAAGTTTAGATTTTTTGTAATGTTAGATTCTCTCTTATTATAAGTAATAGGATAACTATATTTGGTATGTGCGTACCTTGCAAGGTCCTCATGCCCGTCAGACAGTTTTCACTTGACCTCGACCTCATTTCATGGATCAGTGAACAAGGTTAAGTTTTGGTGGTCAAGTCCATATCTCAGATACTATAAGCAATAGGTCTAGTATATTCGGTGTACTGAAGGACTGTAAGGTGTACATGTCCAACTGGCAGGTGTCATCTGACCTTGACCTCATTTTCATGGTTCAGTGGTTATAGTTAAGTTTTTGTGTTTTGGTCTGTTTTTCTTATACTGTATGCCATAGGTCTACTATATTTGGTGTATGGAATGATTGTAAGGTGTACATGTCTAGCGGGCAAGTGTCATATGACCTTGACCTCATTTTCATGGTTCAGTGGTCAAAGTCAAGTTTTTGAGTTTTGGTCTTTTTTTCTAATACTATATGCAATAGTTCAACTATATTTGGTATGTGCGTACCTTGCAAGGTCCTCATGCCCGTCAGACAGTTTTCACTTGACCTCGACCTCATTTCATGGATCAATGAACAAGGTTAAGTTTTGGTGGTCAAGTCCATATCTCAGATACTATAAGCAATAGGTCTAGTATATTTGGTATATGGAAGGACTGTAAGGTGTACATGTCCAACTGGCAGGTGTCATCTGACCTTGACCTCATTTTCATGGTTCAGTGGTTATAGTTAAGTTTTTGTGTTTTGGTCTGTTTTTCTTATACTATATGCAATAGTTCAACTATATTTGGTGTATGGAAATATTTTATGATCTATTTGGCAGTCACGCAGGTTTTATTTGACCTTGACCTCATTTTCAAGGTTCATTGCTCAGTGTTAAGTTTTTGTGTTTTGTTCTGTTTTTCTTAAACTATAAGCAATAGGTCAACTATATTTGTTGTATGGAAGAATTGTTAGCTGTACATGCCTGCCTAGCATGGTTCATCTGACCTTGACCTCATTTTCATGGTTCATTGGTCAATGTTTAGTTTACTTGGTTAATGTTAAGTTTATGTGACAGTTGTAATAAAACTTTATATTTAGGACTATCAACATAATATCAATGATTAGTAAAGAAGGCGAGACATTTCAGCGTGTGCACTCTTGTATAAATTAGTCAAGTTTATAATTTACCAAATTACTGTTGAAAAAACTATTTTTGGGTTATTAATGCTTTATAAATGGTGTGATATTATGATATTGTGTTTGTTTATGAGTTTGTTGAATTTTGTTTTGTTGTCTTGAAAGTTGATTTTGTATATACTAGGGGAGACAATTGTTGATTTTTTAGGGGAAATTGACATGTGTATGATTTAATCATCAGAATCTTCTTACATTTCATGTTTTTTTATTTATCTTTCTATCACTTAATATTGTAAAAAAACAAAATGTACATATATATGATATATATTGTATGTAATTCCCCAGAAAATGATATCTTATAAATGAAAAATTATACATTTGTAAAAGATTAATTTTGTGCTAAAACTATATATAAAGCACTTAAAAATACAGGTTTGTTTTCAATAAAAAAATTTTGCAAATCAACATATCACTAAATTAACAATACATCATGGGATATGTATATCCATCACTTGCTTTTGATATATTTTCGGTTATCAGATACATTTTGAATTACAAAGTAAAATATTAAGAATAAGACATTTGAATCAAATCTTATGTTTTCTCAACACAGTGCACCTAATGTGAGTTCAAAAAAGTTTCAAACTGACATGTTTCTAAAATTCCACAGTTTATCGTAAGTTTGTTGTTCCTGGTACATTGGTTTTTTTTTTATTCATAACAAACTGCTTTTCTGTGATGTAAGATTGAAAGTTGTATAGTAGAAAATTTCTACACATTTTCATCCAAATCAAATTTTGTTATGTAGTTTGAGAAGGTTCAGAATGGCGAGTCTTTCATGTATATATTTTGCTTGCATGGTATGACAGTTTAATAGAGGGAGTATCTCAAAGTGTAATTGTAAACCTCAGTGTGTCACAAATATATAATTTTAGTCAAATGAGATATTCATTGAAATACAAATTTTAAAAAATATAAGTTGAGAAAAAAAAAATTCTGAAACTTCAACCACAGCATGCTCACAGATATGCCAGTAGCTGAAATGTTTCTGAAAATGGGTTTAACACTGCAATAATGTAAATATACTGACTGTTGTTCTAATTCTCAATGTTTTGTTTGTGATTCAAATTCCATAATATTGTTTCACTCTTGTAACCTAAAGAAAGACTATCATCTCTGTTAGAGGGGAGATAACTCTTTATTGTTTCTGATCATTGCTATTTCTTCTTTTCATTGCTGTATTCACATTGTCTTTGTTATATATAGGTATATATTTCTCCTCATCAAGATATTTTGTTGTGAAAGCTTAGAATCTGTAAAACAGACTAGAAATTATATTTTAAATTGTAAGTGCTATTATAAAACACACTTTTGTTCAAAGAAAACTCTGAAATAATTTAGAATTTGTTTTAGTATGACTGTTGAATTTTGTTGATGTAGTAAGATCATGCATTTTAAATTGGCATTAGAATAGACACTAGATCAAGCTTGTGCTTCACGAATCATACTTTAAATCATTAAATTGTAAAAATTAAATGTATAAACTCATCAGAGATATCAGATTATAGTTTACTTTCAATTTTTTTAGTTTTTAATTCTTTTAAAGCTGAAAAATAGTTTTGCCTAGTACACGTATAATAACAAACAAAAAAAAACAAATTTGATAAAACTTGAAAATATAGTTGAAGTGCTTTGGGGATGTACAATATCATAAATTAAGTTTCAGTTTGTATGACATTTCTGTGTAATGCCTGTGAATTGTTGTTAAAGTAAGAATACATTTATTGTAGAGAAATGTGTATTTTCACTGCTAGTTAATGATGGATTCAATTCTATTTCTTCAAATTTTCTTTTTCCTGTCCTTATCAAAGGTCAAACATTGCCATGACCATAAAAGCACCGAAATGCAACTATTTGGCCATCTGTAGCATTATATTTACTTGATGTAAACATTATTTTGATTGACCAATACTATTTATTTCAGGTGTAAGATCATACATGCATCAATTTTTTGTTTAATTTCTACTGCTGTTTTCAGAAAATACTGGGAATTTTATAACATGTCACCTGGTAGCTAATTTATCTCTTGTCATAAGAATCTGAAATAATAGAAAGTATTGCTATTCATGTTCCAAAAATAGAAAAACAATATCTTCATTATAATTTCTTATATTAGTTAAATATAGATAATTCTCAATTTTAGCTTACAATCTATATGTACAATAAATGAAAACTAACAATTCATTAGAAGGTTATGTAAAACAGATAAGGATATATGTTGAGTGTTGATTAACTACAAATTTATTGTTGAATGAGATATTCTTGTTTCTTGGTAAATAAATATCAAAATATTATATTGTTGTTTCTTTAGCATAGAGCTTACATCTGTCACATCCCAGACACGATGATTCCAAATATAACCAAACTCTTGTTATGTATAGGCACTTAGACATGGTCCAGTGACTTTGAATTAATTAGCAATTTTCAATATTATGTTTTCTGCTTAAGTTAGATTGATAGGAACTACTTGCAATAGACAACAATAATTTTTATAAAGTTACATTGCTGTCTGTACATCTCAATTTGTCGACCATTTTCAGGCCCTGTCCACTAGATCATGGTCCAGTGACTGAATTAATAAGCATTGTTGCTGTCCATCAGATTGTCTTTTTCTGAATTTTATTGCCGACAGGCAAGACATATCTCTGTGTCAACAGTTTATTTAGATATCCAGCTCAATTGTATCAAGTCACCCAGTTACAACACTTTTGTGTCTTAACATCAATTTGTCTCTTCAACAAATTTAATCTTTTTCTTTCTTACCAGATCTCCTGCATTACTCTATACAGTGAAAAAGATTTAAGGATGTTTGCTACTCTGGATTTTTGAATTTTTGTCAGATGGTCGGAATCCTCTGGTTTTATCCATGTAGTGCCATTAAAAAAATTTGCCCATTAACGGCTACATTTCTTTCCATAATTTGATTACATATAGTTTAATATGTCATCTTTGAAAATCTTATAAAATCCTTATTATTTTTTCATTGTTTTTGAAAGAAAAAAGGTACCAATGTTAAATGTATGAAAAATTTAGAGAGAATTATTTCCCGCCAAGTTTTCAATGGCTTATATCTCAAAAACAAGCATATGGACCCTTCATTTTTTTCTGCTTTTTATATGA